TGTTTGTGTTTGTTTTTTGTTTTTTTTTTTTTTGTTTAGGGGTTTAATAATAAGAAAACAGTTCTTTCGTGTTCCTTGTAAATTTTTCAAGCTTAGAAGTTCAGTGTGGTTCCGGGTCTGACAACTCTCTTCCCCCGTGAAGTGGGGTTGTTAATCAGGTTCACTGCCATCATAGTGATTCTAGGATTTATTGGCCGATTTCGGTAGAACATGACAATATTTAGATCTCAGGAACAAGTTTTCCTCAAGCTTTTCTGAGACTGCTTTATTGCCTCACCAAGAGTGGCTTTAGCGTGAGCTCACCCTTCTATTAGACTTCAGAGAACCTACACCAGCACTTCCCTGGAGGCTGAAGTCTGCAGGAATTCAGGTTCTGCTTGTTGAAAGTTAACATGCTTTGAGAGTGAGCAAGGTTCCTCTTGACCTGCATGGAGACTGGTAATCATAGATGCAGAGTTTGGGTGTTTTTTTGCTTTCCTTATCTTGTGTGTAACAATAGGACACGCTCAGTTTGCCCATGGAGCAGGTTTTTTAACAATATTTAACTTTGACCTGCTTTACCCTGGAGATGTGTGGTACGTTTGTGTTTAGGTACTCACAGCACTGTCCAGTTGTTTCGTCCTTTGAAGAGCCTGGAGCAGTCGCCATATGCTCTATATCACTTTTTATAAATATTGCAGCATCACCCAGAACAGCATGTTTTGGTGGTTTCATCAGAAAGGTGTGAGCATGCTAAGCTTGGTTGGACTGAATTCTTCTCTACGTGACCAGGATGGAGAACTGAGCATAACATGTAGGACAGCAAAACATATGTTAAATAGTCTTGTTTTTTCACAGTACATAGTCACTTGATGGCCTGTAAACTATATAATTTTTAATATCTGAAGTTACAGGTGATGCTGTGTTAGGAGAATTTGGGATTAAAATCACGCTAACAGATGCTGTTTTCCCTTTCTTTAGCCTTTATCAAATTTTAAACTGTTTGGGCTGAAATTTTGCAAGTCAGAGATCTCTCTGATGAGGAAGATGATACACACTGTTATTGGTCACTCCTGATAACAGGGCCAGGAAAAATTCCAACCGCATTAGTGCAGAAAGGTGACTTTGGATTGGGATGTTCCCTGGGCTGCTGCTGTGGCAGGCTGCTCAGCCTGGCCACATTAGAAGCCTTTGAAAAATAGCAGCACTTGGCACTTGAGTGTTAAGTCGTGATGTTTAATGTCCCGAAAGATTATGCCCACGCTGAGCAGGGAGAACATCCCACGAGGCAGGACTTTCCCTGCAGGCACGTTGCCTGGAAGGACATAGGTTGTTGGAAGCCAAGTTGAAGGAGATAGGGCAGAAGCGGTTGTAGTTGTTAGGTAGGTGGGGAGAAACGGGCAGAAGAATCTCTGCTGGCTAAACCGTGTGTCCTCCTCCAGATCCCAGCAGAAACCCCTTTTTTGTGTCTTTCAGCAGCCCTGTGTGGGGGCCAGGTGCTTGTCAAGGCCACTGCCAGGGGCATCGTGTTCCCCTCTGGCTCTGGGACATGCCGAGGTTGAGCACCCTGTGTCTCTGTGCAAGTGGCAGGCGTCTGGCAGGGAGGTGATGGCAATGGAAGACTTAAACCTTTCAGCTCTTCTGATGACCTCTGCTGGCATCAGCATGGGGGAATTCCTTTTTTCTTAGTCTGCTTTTGAAGAAGATCCAAGTCTTCGGATTTCATACAAAACCTTATGAAACTTTCCTGCTCCCTATGATGCATTGAGCTCAGCTCTCAAAAGTGAAGACAGTAAAAACCCAGATGCACACTGTGCTAGAGTGTGGTTTGTTGTGTTTTTTTTTTTCCTGGTGTTAGAAAATGCTAAACTTTCTGAAATTTATTATTTTCTCAATGATTTTATAGTCATATTGGGAGTTGTCACATAAAGTTTTAACTGAGTTTTGCAGTTTTGTCTACCAATAAGATAAATAAGTGGCTATAGAAATCAGAGGATGGAGCTAAGGAAGTTAAATGTGGAGTGGGTGAACTGATTTTAACAAGTCAAACCAAAGTGGTTTGGATCATTCTTCAAAATTATCACCTAGGAACAGACCTCCTAGTTTAGCAACTGTCTGTTGACACCCTGCTCGGACTTAGCATTGATGTTTGGGAATTGTTTAATGATAAGCTGTTTGGGCCCCTAAACGTGAACAGTTCGGTAGTACAGGGAGTTGTGTATTTCCCTGGTGCCCAAAAGCCAGTCTGAGAGACTTGTCCTCAATCACACACAACATGAAATCTTTAAATTAGTTTATATTTTCAGTGATCCCCTCACACTAGAAAGAGCTGTTTACTTTAAAATATACATGCTTTTCTGCTACTCTCTTTTTATGAAAGAAAGGAGATCAAAGAAATACTGAGGGTGGTTTTAACATATCACACACAAAAAATCATTAAAAACCATTGCAAGTTGGCTGGAGGCCAGCTGTGATCACGACGAATCCCGAAGTGCTGTGTGAACTTGAACTGTTATATGACCCGTACCTGAGGTCCACTTTGGTGTCCACCAAAGAGTGGTTGCAGTGGCTCTTGGCAACGCTTTGGAGCAGCTCAAGGAGGAAGCTGGAACTTTCTTTAATCTTTGCCCCCACCCCTCTTTTGCACCTTCTTCTCCAGGGGACTTCTGCCTAGATGGAGCCTAGATCTCTTACCTACATTTTTCTGCCCAATTTTTTCTTTCTTGGATCTGTACCCGTCTTCATAATTGCTATTGTTACACTCACTGTAATGGAAAAAAAGATTAATCTTGAAGACTGTCAGTGTGGCACTTTGAGGCTGCTGTTTCTCATGGTGGGCTTTGCCAGTGCAGCTGAGCTGCTGCGACCGCTCGCTGCTGCTGCAAGGTGTGGTGGTCCCGCTCCCCCCGGCACGTCTCGCCCCCCTCCTGCGTGCCGGTGCTGGCAGTCAAGAGCTAACTGGGCAAAAACCTCGCCCTACCAAAACGTGAAGGTGTTGTTTTTTTTTCCTGTGTGTTTAGCTTCCTCTTCCAGCTCACTATGGGATCAGATGAATGAGCGCGAGCACAGATGGAGAGGGAAGAACAAAACACATGGAAGAGGGCTGGGGAGCTGGACCAGCCTCTTCGCTTCGGCTATTAGATGGGCATGGCGCTCTCAAGTCGGCGTTATTTCCTGCCATGCTGGATTTCTTTTCTGGGTTTAAGCTTTTCTTCACCCTACTGCTGGTTTAAAGGTGTTTCAAGCCACTTTTTCTCATATGGGTTATTTTACATCCCTTTCTGATGTTGGTTCGCTTGCTTCAGGGTGGGATTTTTTCTCTTTTAACTGCTGATGTGAGGTAGAAAAACAGGAGGGAAGCGAATGGAGGCAAGTTAAATTGGGAAGAAAGAACAAATTTACATATCCTTTGTCCTGTTTTGTTACAATTCATGCAATATCTTAGTCAAGGAGGTTAAGTTCTGTCTTTTTGGTCTAGATGAAGACTCAGGAATGTGTAAGGAAATGGTATTTTCATCTGTTCTTCAGAATCAGATCTCAGCACAGAATCAAAGGCTGCTGTGCTCTTAGAAGTGTTTTATTTCGAATGGAAAAGAAAATAAAGCTGCAGCACTTACAAAAGTTCAGCTGCATTCCTGAAAATCTTTCAGGGGTTGTATGGGTTTGCCGCTTCGACTCTTGCTCTGAGTTTGATTTAAAATGACCTCCTAAATCTGTTAATAGTCTTGCAAAGCAACTCATTTTGCTTGGCCCTGAGTGGAAACCACGCAAACCCACCGAGTTCTGCAGGAATTCCTCCAGGAGCCAAAGCTGCTCAGATACAGTAAAGGGTGCATAAATCTGAAATTGTGGTTTGTGACACACCTCCAATTTTAGTTTTGTTTTGTTTTGTTTTTTGATTAGGTAAATCAGCTTAATCTGACTCTTGAGAAGAGAAGCCATTCACCTACATACTTAATATTTCGTTAAATTTGACAGTGTCCTCCCAGAACTCAAGATATTTCCAGTGTGAGCACAGACAGTGTCAGAGGCAGAGCTGAAAGGATCAGAGGTCCTGCTGGGAGAGAGCCCCTGGAATGTGCTTACCTTGGTATTACATTCAGCTGTGTATGACCCTTTCTACTCTCGAATTGCAAGATTAAAAAAGTAAATACAGAGAGATTTTTAAAATATGTATATATGGCTATTTTTGTTCCAAAATAATTCTGAATATATTATTCTGAAATCACACAGCTCTATACTGGATAGAGTTAAAACTGTGTAAATTGTGCTATTAAACGGCTGACTTCTTTCAGAAGAGCTTGTACTAAGTGAAGAAACTTGTTTCTCATGTATGCTTTGGTAGATTTCAGAATGAAAGGCTCCACATCAACGTAACAACATGCAAGTGAGGGTACAAATTTATCTATATGCTATGCTGTCTCGCGAGTGGAGGGAACTTTATTGTTTTCCAGGAAAATGCAAGGTTTCACCTGTATTGCCGCATGCAGGGCAGAGCTAGTGTGGTAAGAATCCCATCTACAAATAGTTACTCAAGAGGAAAGTACCTTCTAATAGGGAGATTTTAACCGTATGTATATTTGGAAAGATCACAACTTCAATGTCCATATTAAAAATAATTGGGTTGAACGTAGCTGTCTCTCCATTTTCTTGGCCAATGTTTGTTTTTATAACTTGCATTTTTACTCATATTTGAGAGAGTTGTTCGTATTCTTCCTGCATGGGAAAGGAAAAACACAAAAAACAAGGAAAGATTTTTGGAGGTGCTGAGGCTGCAGTGCAACCAGCTCTATTGAGAGCTTTGTTGAATACTTGGGGTAACAACAGGGGATAGTAGTGTTTTTTTATTAAATTTTTTTTAGTTAGCTTGCTATTTTGTTACTGCATTTGTTGACTGTGTGTCTGTATTTTGCTCATATATATAAATTATTAATTCGATATTTTCTTTTTAAACCTTGTCTAGGTTATTCTGAGTGATTCCAAAAATACCCTTCAACATGCCTGAAAATCCTGCTGCAGGTACATAGTCTGAAAGTCATTACTTTTGTTGCCAGTGAGAAATGAAGCTCCATTCCTTACATGTACTATTTTGTGGTGCAGATAAACAGCAGGTGCTACAGATCCTTGATCGTCTGCAAGCGAAACTGCGTGAGAAAAGAGATTCCCAACATAATGAAAACCTGACTGTTCTGCGTAACACGCTCAGGAGCCCTTTGTTTAACCAGATACTGACCCTCCAGCAATCCATCAAGCAACTGAAGGAACAAGTGAGTGTAAAATTACAATTGTTGGTGGATAATAACTATAGTGAACTTGGAACTTAAAACAGGGTATGTAGGTGTGTGTTAATGAGGGCACTCTCACTAATAAGCTGTAACGGTGTGAGGGAATGTTGAGTTGTGTTTTTTTGTCAAGCTAGAGCTAGTATCTACAGAGTCACTACTGAAATGAAGAGTGGTATCGCAACAACCAGGTCATGGGGCAACGTGCTTTGAAAGGGATGCAGAAGAGGCAGGCGTTGAGAACCACATCAGTCGGAGGAAAACATCTGCAAAAGACATCAGCTCTAGTACTTTGAGTTCTGAACACAGCTGGAACTGGGATCCTTTGTTTTTCACAGAAGCTAAATACTGTTTGTCAGCTAACTGGCAGCATCTTTCCTCCTTAAAAGACATCATTTCCTGCTGACTTGTACAAGAATGGTTAACCTGTTTTGTGAAATATAATCTAGAAGACCACCCCTGAAGATTTGCCAAGCTCTGATGCTAGCTCCAAGCTAGTTTTAAAATGACTTGGCTCCCACAGTGGGAGGAACTTGTGTGGATTGGTTTATAAAGTTGACTGACACCTAGATCTTGTGGACGTGGGCATCAATGACATATCTGCATGGACAGGTCTCTGCAGTTAGCAGAGTCAGGCATGCAAACTTAAAATCAGGGACTAATTTGTCTTACCCTAAGCAGCAGCGATTCCTGTCTCGCTGTTACTGCGGATGTAGAGGGTGGGTGTCAGGGGGACAAGACCACCTTGCAGTCATTGCACGTGTTCCTGCCTGGGTGGCATGGTAGTGCTTGTGCCAGTCATTCTCTCTTCTTCACGTGTTGACAAAGGTGCTGTATCTGCTTCTGTTCCTTCTTTCCAAAGCTTGGATACGTGTCTGCAAGCAATTAAAAGTGTATGAAAATGCAAATATATCTAAGATCATGCTTTGTGACTGTGGCATAATGGATTTTATATACAGAATGTTCAGGAGTATCTGTATGAAAATGCAAATATATCTAAGATCATGTTTGTGACTGTGGCATAATGGATTTTATATCCAGAATGTTCAGGAGTATGATAGCTAGAAAATTTCATTTTTCTTGAAATTCTTTTTAAGCATGGCCCTCATGAGCAGTTTCATTCAGGATGAGATTTTTCAGTTTACTGTGTCGCGCTGGGAATATTACTGCATTTCTTCATTATCTGTAAGGACTAGACATTGAACTGCAAGTTCTAGCAATGATCACATGTTCAGTGGTAGTTAGTTTGCACCCTGGGCTCTCTCTGGGGATGTTGTTTCTGGAATATTGGGGTGAGAAGAGGGTAATGGGCACGGGCTGGGAAGCAGAATGAAAGAAATGGAGGAAATGAGTGGGGCAGAAACACGGCTGAAACATTCAGGGAACTTCTCCTTCTGAAAAACAGTTTAAACTTGATATGGCCACTTGATTAGAGCTTGTCTATTAACATTGCCTGTTTTTTTTTATACAGGTGAGCATACTGGTTTAAATAGGCATATATGAACATAGGTGTGCTTGCTTCTTTGGCAGTCTTCGCACAAGATGATGCATGTGGAAATATCTTCTTGTGTTTTTAATACTTTTTCTACACCTTTGTTCATGTTAACAGCTCAATTATATGCCTCCTGACCGTTCAGTAGATTTCGATTTTACTAAGAGAGGGCTACTGGTGTTTGCTGACAGATCAGTTGCTGCTGGGAACGTGTATACACCGTGCAGTTCACCTGAACCCAAAGCATCTACCTTCGCTCCAAACCTGGGAGTTAAGGAATTTAACGCAATCATCCAACAGATGGCAAAGGTAAGGCTCTCAGGTTTAGTGACCCAAACTTATTTTCCTTTCACATCTGACTTTTTCTTGCAGACTTTTGGACTACGTTTTCAAACATGCTCTTTTGTTTTGTGTATCTGGGAGTGTGATGCCTCTGAGCCAGTAAGGGAGTAGAAGTGCTGAGGATCACTTTTCCCTACGGAAGATAATGTCAGCAATGGAAAGTGGTTTGGTGGTGGTCTGTTTTGGTTTGTTTTTTTTTCTTCCTTTGCCAATGTTTTTGTCTTGCTGTCTACCAGACACACCAATGTAGAAAAGAAATTTCTGTTGCCGGAAAACTTTTTTGGTATTTGATAACACTTAATTGAGAATGGACGTTTTCTGCAGAAGCTTGTTTTGATGGAGAGGCTTGTTTTATCAAGTACATTTTAAGTTGGAAATGTACCAACTTTCTTAATATATGAACAGTGCAAATGATTAAAAGAACTGGCATGTAATATTTTATTTAACTCTTCATTTAGTTTGTCTTAACTTTGCCAGACAGATGCTGATTTCATTAACACGTGATATAGCATGTACCAGATGCTTATGGAAGTTGTACAGGTGCAGACATCCACCATGTGGGATTGGCATTTATACCACAAATGTATTGTTCTGTGTTACTTTGAACCATTAATTTAATTGGTTAGTCATGCCTTTCTATATTAAGTAACTGTTGCTAATTTACCATCTTAATGTAGCTGTAATATTTTGAGCATAACTCTTCTCATTAGTGTGTCATTAACTCATCAGATAAAAGATTTAGCAGTGAAGAGTGCATATTATTTTGGTTAAACCAGCAGTGATAGCAGTGCCTTCTCTAAGTGATATTTCCCAGTAAACAGCCCCAGAAATCTTGTATTAGGACTGAAAAGCAGGCAGTTGCAAAAGCAAACTTTTTTTAGCATTAAGTGTGGAGCTGCAGGGAGGGGAAGGAAATTAATTTCTTTATTTAAAAGCTGCAATCTTTTGAACACACACCTAAAAATCAGCATTAAAAGCAAGGGGAGCCAAAAGACAAGTAATTTAGTTTAGCTATGCAGCACTTCCAGAAATCCCAAATATATTGCTCTAGACAGCACTTCGTTCATAGTTTTCATCCAGTTTGGAATTCATCTCATAATGTGAATGAAGTGTTAAAGCAGCTCTTAAATTCCCTGAGGTTTCAGAACCTCAGAGTGCTTGCGTATCCAATACTCTGCTATATTAAAAATAATAAATGGAGGAGCTTTTATAGAAATAACATATTCAGTATTTTGCCTTTGTTTAGTCTTAGGAGGAGAATAACTCTCCTCATGTTCATAAATTTTAAACTAGCTCATTCTATTGCATTAAAAATTAGTAAATCAATTTTTTTCTGTTTTATTAGGGGAGACAAATAGAATCGATAAAGATTGAAAAGCCTTCTGTTGGAGGTCTTGGATTTAGTGTGGTTGCCCTTAAAAATCACAGCTTGGGAGAAGTTGGTATCTTTGTCAAGGAAGTCCAGCCAGGAAGCATAGCTGACAGGTGAGATCTTTATAATTGTATTGGAAAATTGCAGTATTTCCGGGAATGGAAAAGTTGAGACTTTCACGTTGAAAGCTCTGTCAGACTAACAGGTTTGTCTGGGTTATCTGGTGGGATGTTTTGTTGGTGGTATCTTGAATTCTGACTTTTCAACTCAATGGACTCATGTTTTGAGGATCAGATTTTCAGATGAGTTTTAAATATCCGAGCCATTCATAAATGGAATTTCCAGAAGTCATGACTCACTTAAGAGAATCTTGAGTACTGATTAAGAAACAAAAGAAAACTCAGAAAAGAATACAAGGAAAATAAAAATTAGCCTGTGTTTGAATTTTTATGCATTGTATCCCTGAAAGTTTGTTGGGTTTTTTCCCCCCCTTGTTTCTTTATTTATGTGCCTATGACAATGCCCTATTTATAGTTGGTTTTACTGTTTGTTTCCTGTGTAAATTTAGATCCAGTCCTCCCGACAGATCCCTGCACAGATGCCATCATAGAATCAAGGCTTCAGGCAGTTTCTTCCCGTATTGTCTGTGGGTTTTCACCCAAAAACAAAAGACAGAGCAATCCTTTAAAAATAAAATGTGATTGTAAAACCACAAGAGTTGGCATGAGACAAATGCAGAGCTTGGAATTATGTTTCAAGAAAATGTGTCTAGATTTCAAGTCATTGGTGTCACTTTTTAAATAACACATGTCAGGAAGTGCCAACACAGGATGACAAAAGGAGTGGGGAGAGGTTGGAATGATAATGGCTATGGGCCCACAGAGAACACACCAGAGAACACTTAAAGAAAAGCATATTAGGCTCTTTCAAAGTGGAGACAGATGGACTGATCCGGATGTCAAAGGAGGGTGAATATCTCACTTTAGGATTTGATGACCTGCTGCTCACTTTCTTTGATGAGAGAATCTAAAATATGGTTAGTGCTGGGAGAAAGTGATTTCTGGGAAACATCTTGAACGTCGCATGATAAAAAGGAAGTTTGAAATGCGTTAGTTAAGATGTGCAGTTATATTGTGTTGGAGTTTATAAATTTCCCCAGCATGCTTCCCGTTTTGCTTCTGAGACAAGATCTCCTGGAGACTTTTTTTGGATTCCTACAGAGCTTTGAAGGCAGTGTCTGTCTATGTAACAGTTTGGTCTCGTGCTCAGAATGAATATTTAACAAAGGAGATGAGTGATGGTTTCTCTCTTGTCACAAATCTAAATTCATCACTAGGGTGAATTAACTGTGAAATTTATATTATCTTAAAGTATAAGTTGAACTGTGTAGTGCTTGAAGAAAGTTTGATGTCTGAAGTTTGATACAGTAAATTTAAAGTAAAATACAAATATGCAGCTCATTGATCTTTAGATTAAATAATGATATAAAACAATGTCATAGTGTGAGTTGTGGATACTTAGAGACAGTATCATGTAGTGCTAAACATAATGAAGAATAGTTCCTAGTTCATTGTATAACTAAAAAATGTTTTTTTTCCTGCCCTATAATTCAGTATCATCAAGAAAAGATGAGGGAATTTCATTGACTTTTGAATAGAAGCAAAGGAAAAAAGCAAGCAAATTTCTGTACCATGATAAAATCGGAACAAAATATGGCTGGGCAGTCCAGTACAGTGTGGGTTGCTTTTGTTTTTATGTTGCTGAAGACAGTCTAATAAGCAGATTTTCTTAATATATAAATATTTACCCTTGCATAACTGTATTTTGCACGTTTGTATTTAAATTACACGAGTCTGTGGTGAAGTCACTATGCTGCATTTTAAAATTTCTTTGAATGTTTTGTTAAGGGATCAAAGACTGAAGGAAAATGACCACATACTGGCCATTAATTGCACCCCATTGGATCAGAACATTTCCCATCAGCACGCTATTGCCCTCCTCCAGCAATCCACAGGATCTCTACATCTGGTTGTTGCTAGGGAGCCAGTTCACGGAAACAGCAGAACTTCGGCTGTCTTATTAAGTGATATAAATCCACCTGAGACCGTGAGTCGTTATAATACTGTCAAAATCAGGTTTTGAACTATGCTGGATTTTTCTGGGGGGTCGTAAGTGTTTGTGTTAGCAAGCTTTACATGTAAGGATTTTTTTTCTTTAATCAGATTTTATACGTGATGACATTTCATTTAGACTGATTGTGCAATAAGTGTGAGGCTTCCATTGCAGAGCTGCGTGAAGTTGTTATAAAATAGATCCTGGATTTTTTTATGGGATAGCAGAAGCTTTAGTAGATCAACATATTCTTAGCAGCAGAGTCTGTTCAGCATAGGCTATGTAAAGCATTTTATGAGTATACTCAGCCGAAACCTACTTGTGCTCAGCAATTAAAGATGCTCTGATTACATCTTAAAAGAGTGTAAACATAACCTATCATGAGCACTGCTTGAAATATCCCAACCAATGTAAACTTAAACTTCTCAAAACAAAAAGCGCCTTGTCTTTGTTCCAAAACCAAACAAAAAGTATCTGTGAAAGAACCTCGCAATCCCTGTTTATTTATCAGGTTTTTTTAATCTGCCGATTTCATTGATTGTGAACCCTTTTGTTTCCTCAAACAAGGAGAGATTGTCACTGGGACATGTAATAAGCTGGGGCTGAACTTCCATCTGTGTTCAAACCATATGGTCCAGGTGGCTTCACTGAATTTGGTCGAACTGCGCACCTAAATCCAGGGTTTGCAATATTGGAATCTAAATTTATTATGCGAGTAGGTTTTGATGAAAATCTGGTTAAGAGCAGTGCTTTTCCTTATTCTCAGTAATTATTTCCTTCATGATTATTACAGAGCTAGTGAAATCTGAAGGTTTTAGTGCATAATCAATATTGTTTATTGCACTGAAAATTTAAAAGAATTAAACTTTAACTGCTTTTTCATTGAAAGATCTGCACTGAACAGACTAACAAAATAAAATACAAATATATATCTCTACAGGGGGTCTTTAAACTTCTTTTATGATATTTAACTGACTTTGGCAAAGATTTTCAGTATGCTAATAAATCCTTTATTCACAGAAGACTTAAATCTGCCTACTTTGTTCCATTTTGGTTTCTATGAGATATTAATCTGACAGAAACATTGGCTGGGTTTGGGTTGCTTAACAGCTTTGTTATTTTCAGATTGTCTTGTAGAACATAAGGTCACGGTACAGTGTAGCTTAGAAACATGCTTCCAATTCAGCATGGCAGAATATTGTACTGCGCTATTAATTCAGCGTGTACGGGTGGTGTTTAGACTGTGTAAGTGAAATAACAGAAATAAGAATTTGGGCAACGCTAAGTGAAAACTAGGCCAGTGCAAGCTCCTTGCCTCTGTTTTTCTCTGTTGTTTGCAGTATTCTTGATTTTTTGAAAAACTAAAGGGATAGTTTTCATTTTGGCAAGAAAATCTTAAAATTCCTTTTTCTTAGTCGAGTTTTTTCCTAGTATCCTGTTATCCTGAAAGTGAAGGACAAAATGTATGTTTAAAAACAGATGAGAAATCCCACTGCGTATTTATAAGGAAATGAAGCTGACTGAACAAAATCCAACAGATCTCCAATATGTGGGTTAGAGAGAGAAAATTGCTCTGATTAAGTCTCGTCGTTCCTGGTACATGTGAAAGTGAGAAACATTAAAGATTGATTGAAATTAAAATCTCCTGTTTTTATTAATTGCAGATTCACTGGGGCCACGTTGAAGACGTTGAGCTGATTAACGATGGTTCAGGATTAGGCTTTGGAATTGTAGGAGGAAAGTCGAGTGGAGTAGTTGTAAGAACAATTGTTCCTGGGGGATTAGCAGATCGGGTAATTTGTTGTATTATGTCGCTTCTTGTTTGATTGTAAAGTATAATTAACTGGTTTCGACAGTCTTAAAATAAACTAATATACTTAAACAAAAGGAAGCTGATAGCATCAAAGTCTGAATGCCAACATATACTTTATAAATAAATATGTTGAAGGTATGATTGAGGAAAAAGTCAGCACCTGATATGAATTATTTTGTTTCTCAGACATGATTTGGCTTTTATAACATAGTTGAACATGCAGAACTTCTGAGAAGTTGCCTAACCTTCCAGTATTTTCAATACTTCTGATATTTTCAGCCTTTGGTCAGGCTGGGGAGGACAAATACTCATAATGTATTTGCACATCCTCTGTAGAATTTGGCACATTTGGCAACATCTATAGGGAAAAACTCTCCAAATGAATTGTCAGGCAAGAGAATCTGCCCTGTTGAAGTATTGCAAGATTCAGTTTATAGATTGAAGATATCCTGTTTGAAGTGGGTTTCGTTTGAAAGGGGTTTTGATCCCTGCCTTGTGGTTTGACCAATTCAAGGAGACACATGGGATTGATGCAAAGCCTTTTGAAATTACTGATACATTTTAAAGTTGCACAGGTACAGTGTGCAACCTTTGATTGCTGATCTTAGTGCTAATCTTAGTGCTTTGATTGTACAGTGTGCAACCTTTGATTGCTGATCTTAAAGACTTAGTGCTAATTGCTGCTACATTTCAGGAGTAGAACACCTGCAATAACAAAACAGATTTGGATTTTTAATATACATTTGGTCATGACAAGTTACAGTATTTGAGGTCTGGAACCCAGACAGAGAAGATCCAGTAACATGCAAAAGAGAGAGGCTAAGGTACTTCCTCTCGTATAGCATGGAAACAAAAACTGGAGATTCGGAGAGCTTTACTGGAAAATGTTGGCTTTTGCTTGACTGCCTGCCTCTGAACCTGTCATTATAAATGAGTATTTTTTAATTATTGTGTAACACCTGTTTTGCTGTAAGGAATAAAGTGTTTTGGCTACAAATGAAGCATGTAAGTTAAGAACTCACCACATCATTCTCAGCTGAATGAGACATCATTAAAGAACACGTGAAATAATGAGCGCATATACATGTTAAAATTGGATGAGTTTGTAAATGAGTTTGAGTTAGTTCTGGGAATAACTCTGCTATGATTGCTTTATAAATCAATGCACCTAAGGTGGTGGAGCTGCGCTGATCAATACCAGCTGAGGATTTGGTCCTACGAATGCTTGCTTATAACAGAAATGATGATGTAGGTCATGAATCATAATTATCATGTGAAAAATGGTTTCTGTGGAGTCTTGTTACCTTCAGTGGATTTACTTGCTCGAGACAGAGCTAGTCATATGAGAAAAGAATTGCCAGGCTAATATAGAAGTATTAGGAAAAACTCTAAAAAGACCTAAATCAAAACGCTGTGCTTTTTATTCTAACCCCAATCCGATGAGGAGCATTCTGTGAAACAGGAATACATAACAACCTGAGAGATTATAAAATGTTGTTGCTGTCTGTTTTCTCCTAAGCGAGAGAAGTAACCACTTTCTTAGGAACGTCAACTGACTTATCTCAGTTTTGGAAAGGTTGATTTACCACAGTTAACTACTGTGGAAAAAACAGTGCATGGTTGTGCAAACACTTCCTCGAATTCTTTAGTATGTTGCCATGGTGGTCAGTTTTATGTTCTTTTCTTGCATTGGCTCTCAAGGATGCCTGTACACAGTTTCAATTTTGTAATGGAAAAGATATTTTATGTATATTATATTTAGACCGGAAACATTTTTTGCAATTTTCTTTATTTTTGTAGGATGGGAGGCTCCGGACAGGAGATCACATCTTACAGATTGGAGGCACCAATGTGCAAGGAATGACCAGTGAGCAAGTTGCCCAAGTGCTGAGGAACTGTGGGAATTCTGTTAGGATGATTGTTGCAAGAGACCCGAAGTGTGAAATTATGGAGGCTCCACCAGCTCCTGTGAGCTGGCCAGTCAGTACATTACCTTCCTTTCAAAATGGAAACGTAAGTATCTGGTGTTTACTTATGACATTTTTAAGTGTGTTTATGGCTTGTGATCAGAAAGGCGGAGGAGAAGAGAGTGTTCTTGAGACCTAAAGTGCTTCTCCTCTTTTGAGTTTCCAGGTACCATATGCGTGTATTTAAGTGGTCATTATTATAGCCCTGCCTTCCATAATTTTTCCCTTTTTCCTTCGTGTTATTAATACCTATAATCTCGAGATTGGAATGACCAGTTTTACAGAATTTATTTCAGAGTGAGTAATTTAATTACCAAGACCATAAACATTATCAGTAAATGGTACTTTTAGTTCTCCTTCTTAGCTCGTTACATTTTTGCTAATCAATCATTTGTAAGTGGATTTAAAACTTGACTGTGAATTTCCCTAGTCTGAAATCCAGAGCGCCGTGGCCACACCAGAATTATTCAGCACAATCGTCTTTTTATGAAACAGAAGTGTAATGTTTTCATAGTCTACGCTACTGTCTGTGATAGGAAATATATCTAAAAATTTTGAAACTTGTTTTAGCAAATCTTATCATGGTCATATCAAAGTCTCTTGTTTTTGAAGTCATTCTTTTCAGTTTTGAGTAATTAAAATCAACAAATGCTACACTAAGTGTACAGTAGGTCTCGAAACATAAACAAAGCTGTGCTTGTGTACCATCTGCTACTACTGTGCTGCTTAGATTTAGGTGTAGAATCTGAGTAGCCTTTTCTTTCCTGTCTAGTTTCTTGAATATGAGTGAAGAGAGCTATTTTTTTCGAAGCACTGTTTTTAAAGGTCAGACTAGCAGTCACATCGTACAAACTCACCTTCTCGCTTACTGGGCATCGTCACTGCAAAGGCACCCATTGGCTTTGTGTCTTGCCTCTCTCTGGAAGTCTACTGTGGCTGAAGCTGTCAGGAAAGTGTTTTGGGTCCTTCTCCAACTCCTCAGAAGAGGAATTTGGTGTAGTAGGAAACATGAGTGGCAGAGAGATGGAAGGGGGTAGCTGATGTAGATGAGGCTGGAGCCTTAAAAGTGGGCTTGCCTGATACTCTGAAAAAAGGCTTTCCTAGTGAGTCAGCATCATTATGAAGCACTTCTTTTCTGGCTTCATCATATTTTCCAAGGCCCACATTAGGAAAAAGTAACACGGTCCTAGTTTTGTTTCCTCGACAAAGTACTATTTTTCTCTCTTCCTGGCTTCAAAGACGGGCCTGTTTGTCACTAATTGACCCCGAGCATTGTAGATGCTGCAGCCTTTCTAAAATGTTCTTTCTGGGTGTCCTTTTGGTGTCCTCCTTATTCCTGCTATGTAATTTGGAGTGGGGAAAGAAAAAAAAATCATGTTGCAATTTCATCTATTTCTTTCTGAATGTCATCTATTGTTTTCTGAACTGAATAGTGCCTTCATATTTAGATTTGAAGAAACTTCTCTTTCTGCTGTTAAGAGAGATTTGCTGAAGTCAAGAATAATAGCTAATCTGGATGTAGTTATTAATTTAATGATTTTAATGGTCCACCTTTCAGTTTGTGTCTGACTTACAACAGAACTTTTTCCTGTATCTAATTTCTCTCTCGTTTCTGAGTACTTTCACTAGCTATGAAGTTTGAAATAGAAAATATCTTTTTTCTTTTTTACAAACCAGCAGAAACACATTTTAAATATATGGTTAGTTTTTTTTCAGTTTTATATTAATATTTGATTTACTTTAAATTTCCTGCAGTAGAGAATAACCAAAACTACTTAGGTCTGTGCATGGGCACAGGAAAACAGTTCTATTATCTGTACTCTGCGAGATACTGACAGCAATATTAGCAGCCTGCTTGTGCTGACTGTATTTAGGACTCCATACTTTGCTTTTTCCAGACTTCACTTCTAATGTTTTGCATTCTGCCAGCAACATTACTTAGAGAAAATTTCTGTAGAGCCAGAGCACTGACTATGAAGGGCTTTTGATTGTCAGAATAGCAGGACTCTCAAGGCTATAGCTCCGTTTTAAATGTTGCTTTAGGCTTGTTTACTGTTTTGATTCCCTCTCCTGAAGATAAGTAACAGCATCAAAACTTATCTTCATCTTCATCAGTGTCTTGTAGAGCAAGAGAGCTGGAAAGCATTTAATGAGCTTAATGAGTTGGCTAGTGGAGGGAGGTGTGTGTGATAAGAAAGGAGATAGTTGTCCATCGATTTCTCTTTCAGTGAAAAATGAAATAGGTACAGCCGTAACTTTGGCCTGCTTTTAATATAGGTCCATCTGAAGTTGATACTAGGCAAGCATATGATTAAACTTCTCTTCTGTTCACTCTCTTCAATGTTTTCCAATTTCCCGGTCCATTTTTTGCTGTTGGCAGTGACACGATCCATCTTGGATTCATCACTTTAACAGACCTTACTCTGATCACCTCCTTACTTTTGATCCCATTGGGCTGTATCTGATTACTGAAAACAACCAGCTTCATGTATTTTAATTTATCCCTTGCAATCCCACATCTACGTGCTTGATTGTTTTTCTCTTTGGTATCACCAATGTCTTTAGTGTGTCCTGTTTGAACTGTGTCTTGCAGTTTTGATTTTTACTTGTTAGAGTAGAGTTGCTGAGACATGCTGAGGCCAGCTTTATGGGGACCTTTTTCCATATACTTCTCCAGTGTAAGGTCAGATCACGTTGTAACCTCAGCTAGTGGCTTTTTTGGTTTTTTGCTAATTGTAATAAGCATAATGTGCTTCTCTTTTCAAGTGTCGTTTATTATGAGAAGTCGTCTTATCAGTTCAACAATAAAGCATTTGCCAATAAATTCTCTCCCTTCCTCTGTTAGGTCTTAAAAATAATTTTAATTGAATACAAACTAATGAGTCTTTTGCTTCCCATTGCCTCAGGCAACCTGGAGGCTTCCAGTGCTCCTTGCGGTTTGGTGGCGTTAAATCTGAACAGCATCATATCAGACTTGTTACGCTGATGTGTGTAAGATTGACCTTTGGAACTTTTTTTTGGTTTGGGAACTAGCACAAAAACAATCAATAAGCTCAAACACCTACCTCCTCTCCCATATTTGCATTTAAGTAGGCAACTGCTTCTGTAGTAGAGATGTGCCTACTATGTATACATGTGGTTTCTTTCATTTCAGAGCATCAAACCTGTTTCTGTTTTGAGATCCCTTTCCTGCTGCCCCTCACTTCCGTAGCTGGTGATAGCAAGGAGAGATAAGCATCCCTTTTTGTGACAGAAATGTGTGATGTGATGACACTGTGTATTTATACCAGTTTTTCTTGCTTCTTAACTGTCCAGTAGAAAGAGCTCAGGCAAGTGGATTCATGACACTGTTTATCAGGACTAACATATGAAAGGGAGAGAAGAAGTTCTAAGAGCATTCAGGGTTTCTGTTGTCTTGTGGGATTGACTGGGAAGTTTGTTGTTACCAAGTGGCAGTGGAATCCAAAGGGAAATGGCCTCCGAGCAGTCTAACAAAAACCTCTGGTTTCCATAAAATATAAGTATTGCAGCTCTGACAGGTATGTGGAGAAAATATTAGGAAAGAATTTAAAAAGCAACTAATGACTTTAGGTGACACCTTATTTTCAGCAAATCTTGGTTATATCTCTTTTGCAAATACGTTCTCTCCTAAAATAGGAGAATCAAAATCACTGCTCACTTCTGAAGATCTTCATTAACCTACAATATTGTAATGGTACTGGGAAATTATGAGATTATTGCTTTTATTTATTGTTTTGTGCTTTATTTGTAGGATAATACCGACTTTTTTGAGACCTGTGATGTTGAACTTATAAAAAAGAATGGGCAAAGCCTGGGGATAACAATTGTCGGATATGCTGGCACATGTGATGTGGGTGAGTTCTACAGGATTTAGTAAAGTCTAGGATAGGGGCTTCTCAAATACCCTTTATTTACTGTGGGGAAAATGAGTAACACTACTTTGAAACAGTGTAACTTACAAAAATCTATGAAGAAAATATTTGGAGAACTTGCTGCAAAGTGAAATTCAGCCAAAAATTTTTTTTCAAGGGTTGTACTTAGCTTAAAAAAATAATTCCCACTTGACTGCTGGACTGTGAATTTTACGTGCTTGTGTTGTTACTGTGCAAGACATTAAACTGTAGCAGGCAGTTCCTGTACAGACTCTTAACACAGTCGGGTTCCTGTCCACGTTGTAACTGGTTTTGCCCCTGCAGTGTATAGCACAGTTCAGATAGCACATTTTAAGAAGAATTTCAAAACCAGAGTATTGGGTGTCCTGGATTTGCGTTAACTTTTAAATGGCGTCTTCAGTATGTACAAAAGAGCTCAACAAGCAGCTTTCATTTGTTTAATGAATTAAAGGTATTAGAGTGGATATGACCAGCCAAATTAACTGGTCCATCCCTCTGCCAGGCAGGAGATGCAGAGAATCTTAGCTGTGTGTGATGTGTGTGCCGCCTTCACAAGGTGATGTGCTTTGGCAGTTGGCTGTTTCAGTCTCTAAACTCTGGGAACAGTTTAAAATACTGGTGCTAGGACATGGGGACATGGAAGAAGGTGTTTTTTTTTTTTTCTAAATCCTCTTTAAATTAGAGCTGTTAACTCGTCTTTCAAGTATTGGTTCCACAAATGATAATGTCTTTAAGATTGACTCAACTGAATGTCTGGTTTATGCAAAGGGGTGGTGCTTTTTCTCCCTTCCCCTTCCTCATGGGACTCGAGCAAGTATTCTGGGAATGTGGTGCAGCTGGGGTTGTTCTTCAGCCCTCCTCATTCCCAGGACATCCTCTTGTGTTGCCAGTCAGGGCTCCCAGGCCAGTGCAGTGAGCACTGGGAACTGGGTTGGGGAGGAGCACGTGTTGGGTAATGGGAAAAGGTGAGTTTGAAGCACTGGTACAGTGGTTTTGCTGAGCATGGACAAACCGTGTTGGGCAGGTATCTGAGGAAGATTAGTGTTCAGAAAAGGATGGATGAAGTGCCAAGATTCACTAGAATGAAAGATCAGCGTCTTATTTTACAGGAGTTTGTGGAAGGGAAGGGTTAGTGTTTCAACTGATGATTTTTTTTTACTAGTTTTTGTTTTGTTGTTGTTTCCTTGTTCTAATTAGAGGTTAGAATTAATAATCAAATGTCAAACATGACAAAGGAGAGCTTTTCTAATTTCCATGTTTCTCTTTTTTTTTTTTTTAATGTTAAGAAAAATCCTTTTTCATTAAGATTTAAAGTACTGAATTCTTTAGCTGTAAGATGATTGAAGTCCTGATCAAAGTACTTCAGCACATACTTTACTTTTAGCTTAGGTAGTCCTGTCGAAATCAAATGCAGTGTGGATTTAAGTGATTGTGGTTTAAAGCCTGGGTAAGCAGAAGAATGAATCCATGGAGGAGGTGGCGTTTTGTGAGCCATTTTAAGGGAAAAATGTTGAGGTCAGTGTACAGCTGGTTGTGTCAGTGCTGTTTTTTCCATCAGAGATCCTCAGTCGTTCTCTGTCAAGCTGTGTGAGTGGTAACGTGGAGATGGTGGTGGTTTACATATCATAACTTTGTGGACAGAACTAGTATGTGAAAAAGGCTGCAATTAAAAATCTTAATAAGAAAATAAACAAATTAGGTTAATGTAGTGACTTGTTTCTCTTCCTCCCTTCCCCTTGCCAACAGAACCTTCAGGGATTTTTGTGAAAAATATAATACCTGGTAGTGCTGCTGACCACAATGGCCAGATTCATGTTCATGACAAGATTGTTGCTGTAAGTAAAATAGTCTGCTTATGTATTGTTGTAGAATTAACACGTCATTACACATCTCAGTGTTAAAAGAAACATAGTAAAGGCTTTCTAAAATTAATTAAACCTTCTTTGCTTTGCAGAGGAAATAATTTGGTGGTTCGTATTTGTTTGGGTAGATTTGAAACAGAAATGAGCTTGCTGTGGTTAAAATATTATTTTATCTTCAAAGAAGTAGTAAATAGTAGATAACTGTGAAAGAGGCAAGGCATTTGGATTAAAAGGTTTCAGAGTGGAGAATCTTGGCTTTTGGCCTGAAGTAAAGATGAGCAACATTAGCTTCTGTTTGAATTGAATGGGATTTGAGGACAGTTAAGATTTTGCAAGATGTGGCACACTGTTTATGATTCTTAATGACTGTATAGCGTAGTGTGGATACAATCAAAATCTTAAAAGTCACAATTCAGGTTTAAAAACCTAAGATTTATATGTAGAAAAATTAAAAACCGTTGAATAATAGCCAATTTTGCATTCACAGTACAAGCAGGAATGAATTACAGAGTCTTTGTTTTAAGAGATAATATTTATAGAGATATGATTTTTAAATTGCTTTTAAAATACGTGCTATGCCAGACCTTCCAAAGTCAGCTTCTCCTTTGTGAGAGCAAAAATTGATACGACTTTGTGCTTTTATCTGCAGCTTTGCAGGAGAAGCCCCTGTTGATGCATGATCTGACAGTGAGGTGAACAGAGTATTTTGGGTGTAAATTAAAACATCTGAATTAATGTAAGAACTAGGCTGTTCAGAGGGGATTATACGAATGGTTATGTGTACAGGCTTGTGCAGGGCATGTTAGAAATCCATGAGGAAGCTAACAGTGATAATGAACTGAACAGAGTTCTAGGTTGACTGCTCTTCCTGGGAAGCTTCATCCCCAATACTCGTCAAGCTGTTTTTTGTGAGCAAAAAAATTGCAGGGGGAAATCAGTGCGTACTTATATCAGATTAGTAAATTCTGTTTCGTGGTTGCCTCATGAAGACAGAAGAAATTACTGTTATGTTTCCTTTTAAAATGCATTTTGAAAATATTATCTAATTAGTGAAATGTAACTGGTTTAATGAGATTGTTTTGCAAATACTACTGTCTTGGGTGAATAACCCTATAATTTCCGCACAAAATAAGGCAGATGTTGCTTACAGCGTATGGTACAGCCTAAGAATGTGATGTCATTACTATATGATACAATTTTCTTGTTTTAGGTTGATGGAGTTAATATACAGGATTATACCAACCAAGAAGTAGTAGAGGCATTGCGTAACACAGGACAGATTGTACGCCTTACTTTACTGAGAAGGAAACCTTCTTCTATTATTTCTTCAGAAGGACCTTCAGATAGAGGTAATATTTTGGGATTGTGTGTTTTTTTTACTTTTTCAGCAACTGATTTTATTCTTCACTCCATTTAAAGTTACCTGATTTAACGATTAGGACTAGATACCACATGATCCTAGATCCTGTAAGGGCACATTGTAGAAAATGAGGTACTTAAGGAAGAATGGAAAGAAACAGAAATAAGGGTTTCAGGAAGATTGAGTGCAAAACTCCTATGTAGCCAAAAAAAAAAACCAAACAAACCAGTGGTTAGTGATATATATATATATTTCATATATAGTGAGATATATATGTATCAATCATACATTTTGCAGCACATGATTATTTTTTTTTCATCTGTTTTCACAGTGCAGCCAATAGTTCCAACCTTTGTGTCCCCTGGAGCTGTAGGGACTGAAACTAGTGTGGATACTAAGAAAGAGAAAAACAAAGAACAGAAGGATAATCTTCAATATGAAAAGAAGCAGAGCCTACATAAAACAGGTGGATAGGATATCTTGCAGTGTCTTTTCTGAATCTTTGGAATTGTCTTTAATCCATTTTCAATACTGATGGGCTGTTGTGGCTTACTCTGTCTTTAGCTTTTGCTCTGTAATGCTTTTAATTCAGGTCTCTCTGAAGTAAAGTTCTACCTGTTGGATCTATCAACTCTTCCATCCCACCCTATCCCCAAAATGTAGCACTGTCCACAGATTTGCTGAGATTGCATTCTGCATCACCATGGAGGTCACTGATGAAGATACTGGATCACATTAGCCCCTGTAGATATTGACCTTCTCTCATAACTGGCTGTCAAGCCATCGGCTAATGCTGTCTTTGATCCCAGTGGTCCATCTAGTTTTCAGCCTATTTAGCGGTCACCAAACCCATGCTTCCTCAGTTCACAGATGAGAATGCTGATGTAAGTGGTGTCAAAAGCTTCAATACAGTTGAGGTGAATCACATCCTTCATCCACGTAGCTATCTTGGCAGTAGGATTGGTCAGTTATTTGGCAGATCTGTATTAACTGTTCCTGATTATCATTTATTCCTTATCATTTATGTCTTTGGAAATGGATTTCAGGAGGAAGTATCTCATGATCTCTCCAGGGCCGAAGGTGAGACTAACTGACCTATAATTCTCTGAATCTTCCTCCTTGCACAAAGTTTGCCCTTTTCCAGTCATTAGTGATCTCCCTTCAATTGCTATGAAGGAAGTGGAAGTGCATCCCTTTCAGTACTCTGGAATGAATCTCATCAGCTCTGTAGAGCTGCATTCCTCCAGCTCACCAATTCTTCCTTCTTGTCCTGGCCTGGCTCTGATGATCTGCGGTGTCCTGCCTGCAGTCTTCTGCTGACCGAGAGCGTTTGTTCATCCTCCTCTGCTGCCAGGGCCCTGAACTAGATTGCTAGGTGAACAGCATCAGGAGATGGAACTCCTGGGAGTTTACATTTACTTCCTGATCCAGTGTTACCTCAGTCATATCTATCTTCTTGCCCTCACAGGTCTTAGGCTGTTCTGTCTGCAGAGTCTTTTCAAAATACTCTGCTGGTTAGCTGTAGGGTGTCTCTGATGCCTGCTTGTTGCAGTTTCCTCTTTTGGCACTGCAGTAACTTCATCAGAACTCACCTTTTGAGCCACTCTGCTTGGCCTCCTACAACCTGTGACTTGAGCTGCAGCACCTTCTCTCAGGAGTTTTGACTGAGTAGGGCTTGCTGGAGGACCAGAGGTGGCTGCAGCAGCAGGGACAGGGGATCACGTCTTGTGACGTGCCTCCGTTTGTATGTCGTTTTCCACACAAACAAGACAGGTGCCACTTCCATGAACATCTGTCTGTGTGTCACCTGCCGTGTTACTGCCTTGCTTCTGTTTGCTTGTCCTGCTCATAGTGCTCCTGGTCACTGACATTTCCTGGAGTGCTAGAGAAGCAGGAAGCCTACCCCAAGTTATCTCCACCTCCTGTGAGATTCCCCACCGGGCAACGACCCTCTGCTTGCTGCCTGCGAGTTCCCAGACCCAAGTCATTTACTGCATTTACTGCTTCCTCCCATGCTGCTGTTGGAAATGAGAGTTCAGTCTCTAGAGAGGCAACTTTGGGCTCGCTTGTCCTGAGCTTGCTAGCTGAACTGGAAGTTGTTGACGGCACACCTATGCAGGCAGATAAGAGTCTCTGGTCCAGCAAAGGCGTAACAGCCGTGAAGACCTCATAGCTGGAATCGGAAGTTCAAATTAGGCATGTGTTTTTTCACAGCAAAGGCAATTGGACACAGAGGCAGATCACAAAGGCATGGATTGCTTTGGTTTTTAGCTGACTTCGGAATCAAGATTGGAGATCTTTCCAGAAGGCGTGCTTCAATTCCTCCACAGATTTCTGGGCTCTTCTACAGGAACTTCTGGGTGAATTTCTACAGCTTGTGTTAAAGTCAGCATAAATTATCCTTATGCCTTGTAGTTTCTAAGATATGTAGATGTAATAGAGGATTCTAAATTATGGCTGTCAATGAATAACAATTTTGCTGTGATTGTGGAGGATCTGTCAGTATTAAAGACAACCTGGAAACGAGAGAAATGTAGCAGTTCCTACGTTCCATTCTGGTTTACTTTTCTGTCCAAGCCTTGTAACCAGACATCCTTTGTTGTGACTTTTGCATATTCCCAGAAATAGGGAGCCAAAACAGAGGTGGTTGAGTGGCTGAGATGTGAGGTTATCAAAGCATGGGTTTAGCCGTGTGGATGGGAAAGCATATATTGATTTGAAGTTACAATGGATGAATAACTTAAGGACTTAGCAGTAGGATGTATCTAGGGGCAGAAGAGCCAGGAGGACTTACACTCGCTGTGACAGAGGCTAGAAAAGAGCAACACTTGCTGTCCTGTGTCACTTACCCAGTCCTTTTTTACTGTGGAACTTTCTATGCATAAAATATTTTCTTTTCCTACTGAAGTGAACTATATCTCCATAGTCCGTTCCTGACTACTCGTGTTTGGGTTATCTTGTGTCACAGGCTGCAGATGTCTGTCCTGATGCAAAGACAATTTTCTGAGGAGTTTGTTACCTAATACCTAGCGCTGTGCAAATATGGTATATCGATGCCAGGATCAGTTTATGCTGGGAGCTAAAATTGCTCTTACTTGGCTTCAAGTTAACAAACCGTGTTAGTCTCAAGGTGTGTTATCTAGATACGCCTTCGTGATCCCTGTTCTGCTGATAATCAGCTTGGATCAAACTGTGTTTTTGAGCCCTTTTCATAGCAGACCCAAAGTGCTTTGATGTGGATCCGCCGATTCTCCGTAAGTCCTCCAAAGCCCTTAGTTTCAAAAGGAGTTTGTAACCAAGTTGTATGAGTGGCTCCCCTTTAATTCTAGCATTGTGCAACTCTCTTAATCCCCTTCCTTGAAGCTCTGCAGAGCACGGTGCAGGTGCCCCTGGGCCTGGCAAGGACTTCATTGCCTGGAATCCAGAGCTGCCAGTTGGACCAATGCTGATTCCGTGCAGGAGCAGCATGGTATATCTGCGCTGCGTTCCCCAGTCCATCACGTAGCAAGTGTACTATGAGATTTTTCTATTCTGCTATGTATCCAAGCTCCCCTTACCCTGGAAAATGCAGGATAATATGTTTGTGTGCACAGTGTGTCTTGGGATACTGAAATTTAAACACTGAAGATATTGTTTGTTTGCGGTTGGATGTTGCCCTTGATACCATCTAGCAGTGCTGGTCCTCCTTGGGCCAGCAGAATACTGCTGTGGCCAAGGCTTTGAAACTGAGTAATAATTCAGGAGCATTTAATGCCATGGTAAGCAAGTATCGCTGCTTGATTAAACTAGGGTTTTTCATAGTGAAAAACCACTTTAAGTTACAAGGTTCTGCAAAAGCTTTATGCAACTATAAAACGTGTGTGTGTATCTCTCTTAAAAAGTTGAAATACTTAGTTGCGAATTTTACTCATACTGAAATACGATGTATAAGATTTCACCTTGGAATAGAACTTAATGGCCAAGTTTAAATTCCAAAGATAGGTGCTTATTTTGGACGTGGTGATGGACACTTCATTATGATGGTAAAGTAAATACTGCTAATTTAAGGCTCTGACTAAACTCTGGAAATGCTTTTGGAAGATTAATATAAAAGGTATGTTTTATAAAGTATGTATTATTTCCCTTTAAGCCCAGTTGTGTGAAATTCTTATTAAGTTATGTTTCCTGGAGAGGTATTAAATAGTAGTTCTGGCCAGGCAAAGCCGTGCTTAAGCAGTTCTGTTACAAAGGCGACGTGGTTTAGGATGCAATGTGCACGAGGCCTGAAACTTTTCACTAGCAGACTAGAGGCAATTAACAGCTGCATCTGCAAGACTGCAGACTGGGCAGAACTGCTTGCTTCTGCCTTGCAGCAGTACTCAAACCCCAAAGACACGATGATGTTAGTCAGGCGCTTAATGATGACTGGAGAAAAATATCCGACGGTAGGGCAGATGAAGGCAGCGCGTTCATGAAGTGCACCAGAGCACAGTACACATCCTTGTGTAGGAAGTTTGTGAAACCAGAAGGAAATTGCAAGAAGAAAAGATCCTGATTTTGCAGATGCTGGCAATTTTGACCAGGAAAGACAATTTTTACAATACATCTGTGATTTATTATTGATGTTTGCTAATTAGAAGTGAAAAGCTGTATGGAAGCGCAGGCAGAAGGACAGACTAAATATGTTGGAAGCTGTTGCTAATGGAAGCTGTCCCTGGGAAGCGTTTTCATTTCTGAGGCCTTGCACATTATAGAAGACGTGGTACATATCTCAGGTCATGAGAAATCCAGCTGGATGAAAGACTAGAAAGAAACTTCCTATTAGCTGCCATGTGGAAAAAGCTGTTCAGGAAGGAAAAAGGAACGTTTTAAGTGAATTGGGTGATACTACTGGAATCGAATATATTTAATCCAAATCCCTCCAGTCAATATTTCCACAGTTCTGAGGAAGTTACAAGCAAAGATTTCAAAGTGTGTTTGAAAGAAAGAAAGGGGGAAACTTCAAATGGAGACGTGCATCAGGACCTGCTCTGAGCAACTCACAGATTTTGGTAAAGTATTTTGGAAGTGAGGAAAAACAAAAATCTGTATTCAGCCAATTGAACACAACTTACAGTTACTGAACTGAACTTTGAGCTTGACTCTAAGATCCATTACTCCTGGTGAACCTTAAAATCTATATTTGGCTGCACAGGGTGCAGGTGCTTAGGTCCTATATGTTCACACTGTAGCTTCGTAATAGCAGGAAAAGGGACTAAAGAATTTCTGTCCCTATATATTTCTGCGAATAGGAGCAGAAAAATGCACTGGTGTTCTGTTTTTGCTACAGTTGGGAGGTAAAGATAGTGATCAGCCTGTGCTTGATATCCAGGCTCATGAAGATGCCTTCTCCTTAGGAACTTCAATTAAATTTCAATGGAGAAAAAAAAACCTTAACACATAGCTGAGAACTTTTGGACAATTTGTCTTTTTTGAGAGGTGAATTATTTCAGAGACAACCGTGGGCTGTATTTACAAACCCATTTTGATTCTTGGTGGAGTGTTTTTTGGCAACAGAAAATAGTTACTGGAATTGCTGGAATCCTTGAATATCTGCGTCTCCTTGAGCCCATAGATTAAAGATACTCTGGATATTTCCAGGTGAAATCTCAGTTGTTAGGCTCTGAGGAGTGTGATTTCTTAGTGCAGATCAGACGGAATTTGCCTATCTGGAATGACAGAAAGTGAGTGGAAGGAGATGCAATGATCGGTTATGTTGTTGTATAAGTTAACTTAAATATTTGTTTTTAATGAGGGGAAAACTTCAAAGTTAAAAAATGATGTAATGAGGATTGTATTGCAAAGCTCATGTTTTAGCTTTGCAGTCCACAAAAGCGTTGAAAGCAAAGGCAGCTTGACATCCCATTTGTGCTGGCTTTTGCTAGTAGGTAGGCTCTGAGCTTCTCTTGGTATCTTCGAAATTCCCCCCTCGAGGTGTTTTACTCGCTAGTTTGTGTGCAAAATGTGAGGTGGTGATTTCCATTCTAAATTTGAGTATGGCACATCAGCAATCCTAAGTGGTCTGTGCCTTGTCTAGACATCTGACAAACTATTACAGTCGTTCAGGGGGGAAAAAAACAGTTTTCAGTAATTCAGACCCCAGTTGCTACTGCTGTAGCTGCTAGATGGAATTTGCTTTGGAGCTTGATTCTTACCAGTTAAACATTGCTTCGACTTGGAACTTTATACGTGCGCTGAGCTTCTGGATGAGGTCAAATGCAGGGCAGCCAGGCATTTTATGCTGTCTAGCTCTGTCAAATTGTCTTACATGAATGTAATACTGCCTTGGTTGCATAAGTAAGAAAGCTGAAAAGATATAAATGTCAAGATAGCCAAGTTCCCACGGAAGACTGGTTTAGAACTGGAGCTTATATTAAAGCTCATGTTACTTACTGGCCTAATTAAACTAGACAAGCCTTTATACCTGCCAAATGTATAAATGAAGTCCACGACTGTGTTGTGCTGACGCAGCCCCTCGATAACAGCAGTATCTTGTCAGGTGTTTTACTTCTTAAGAGGCTTCATTTTGGTGGGAAATGATGCTTCCCTAGAGTGGCAAGCATTTTTATAGCAACAAATTATGAAGTTGTGTGAAATTTGGTTTGCAGCCTGAAAGAATGATTTATTTACAGTACTATGTGATACAGAACTCACATCTCATCAATGCAAGCATCACCTCTTCTGCTTCTCAGTTGAATAAATCACACGTTAGCAGTAGCTGACATTTTGCATTGTTTTCCTAAGAAAGACATTTTTTATTTGCACTGTTTGATAGACTCGGTTTAAAGCACTTTCTGTTTTGGGATTATTCCCTCTAATCTTTTATTTACACTGAATTTTTATTGAAGTATTTAGAAGTAAACGTACTTCTGAATGTACAACTTGTAAATTTAATATTCACTTTCATATTTAGGAACAGTCCCACTCCCTCCAGCCTATGAGCTGAAATCCAAGTGGGAAAACCTGCTGGGACCTGAATACACAGTTATGGTATGTTATCTTCCAATAAACTACAGTCATGTATGTTATTTCTTTAAATTACAGATCTGTGAGCTTGGCATTACAGGCTGTTTATAGAATGGTTTAATGTTTGGAACAGGTCAGTAACATCAAGTTTTGTTTCCCATAACATCACGGCTGAAATATAGATGAGTGTTATAATGAGTTGTTTGTTGTTGTTTGTTTTGCGTTGTTTGTTTTTTTTTTATTGTGTTTATATAGATACTATTGTTATACAGATACTAGACAGGAACAGTGATTTAAGAAAATCAACTGTCCTTTTATATCTGCATCTTAGCAGCCACTTAAAATATGTGGCATTTTTATGATTTCATTTATGATTTATTTGTTTTATTGTGCACTGGGAAAAAAAGGCTCAGGATAGACCTCCTGGGTTTCACGAAGAATCTTACAATTTTATTAGAAGAATGAAAAAATGATTTTCAAACGTGCTGGGAAAATAGGAAGTAATTCACAGTAGTGTAAATTTATGGTGCCAGTGTCTATTAGATATTTCTTCACATCATATTAAGTAATTGCCAAGCAAAAGATTGTTTTGATGAATTGTCATACAGGACTTGACTGAAATTGTAATTCACTACTGCTTTTCAGTGCTGTGTTAGCCAGTGAGTACAGATAAAAGATTCTAGACAACGTTCTTTCCGAAGACTTGAAAAATTCTCACCACCATCAAGAAAATGCCCTGTTTGTCTTTGCAACGCTTGTCCAGTTGATTTAGAGACACTTATTTTTACTACTTGGAGTAGCCATCGTTCCAGTCGCTCACTGGAAGATTTAAAGTAGCTTTAAGAGTTGCCTTGAGAAACTCACTTCACTTCTTTCCATTAGCACTCCTTTAAGATCTGAAGTTCGTGTAAGATTATGTACATGATGCAATAAATCTGTTTGGCTGCCCACTTCAGTTGCTTGGTATTCCCATCCTTACATTTCAAGAGTCTGATATTACTTCCCTTAGCACTATCACACTTCCCACAGAGGACCAAAACCTGCTTAGTTTGTGAAACTGTCTGTTTCTAATTCTTTAGCTGCCGCCAGTAAAATGTCAGGAGTGAAAATGGAAACGATTGGTCCTTTTCAATAATAGAGGGAAACTGTTGCAGCATCCCATTTTGAAAGTAATTTTTTGGTTCTTCCAGTTATTGTCATCTATGTCTGCATCTAGTCTTGCTTGACAACATTCGATTTCAGCCTGATAGTGCAGTCCCTGTTTCACACTATCCTCACGCCTACCGTCGGCTCCCAGAAAGTCACCCTGAAGGTGCCTACAGGTTTGAGTATTCTCTCAGAAGTATTTCTCTTTGGAGGAAATAGCTGTTTGAAGAGAAGGTTTGGTTTCACTCATGGCTTCTGCGTTGCTGATCC